GGACTTATTCCCGCGGGTTTCGGGGAACTTATTTCCGCCGTATTTGTGATCTTGGGACTTATTCCCTTTATTTCCTCTAGCTGGGGTTGCGCAACCACAGCGAGATCCTCTACGAAAGACTCTCCAGTCGATCTAGGATTATCGTTTCGCTTAACCTGAGCGATCGATTGTTTCTCTTCTAGATGTTCCCCGCTAGGGATACATCTTTGTCCCAGTCCACCCGACTTATTCGAGTGGTGGACCTTCGGCGCAGCCTGTGTTTCCTCACAGCCGCCGGAACTTTGCTCCGAAGTGTAACTGTTTGGTACACTAAGGTTTTGTGTAGTCGTACTAACGACCGTACCACAAGTGAGGCCATCGCACTCACTCGTAGTACATCCACACGCTTGTGGACGCTCCAAAACGTTCAGCAGATGGCCATCTGATGAACAAGCGGCAGGCATCGTTACTGTCCGATGTTGCCAGTTTACCCGTGGTTCGTACCTTCTGAGCCACGGTATTCCAAGGATGACATCAAATTTGTCATCCAAATCCAATACGATAAAGTCATCGTCATATTGGGTATCTTCTAGCGTATAGTGGATCTTCACTATACGCTTCATGACGGTTACGGATGCGCCTGTCGCAAGATGTACCGTCATCCTCGTAGGAGGTGTGTCACATTCACTGAACTTAAAGTGACCATCTTCTAGCGATTGGCGTCGCACAAAATTGTTGGACGCCCCACAATCGACTAGAGCTCGAAGGGACAACTTATTCGTCACTTCGAGTTTCAAGGTAATGAGTGAGACCTCATTACCTAGAGCAGCAACGCACAACGTTTGTGTGTTGGGAGCAACCTTCGTCAAGAGGCCTACAAATTCTCTTGACGTTGCTGGACCAGTAGGGTGCTCCGCACCTACTGATCCTGTCCGTTTTCTGACGGTCCATCCCGTTGTTGTGTCTTTGCACCAGCAGCGGACCCGCGTGTCTGCCCCTTTCTCATGGGTGGACGGTCACTACGCCCAGTGTCGCGAGACACTGGACGAGGGGCACTACACTCGTAAGCGTAGTGTCCTGTCCTTTGACATCTGTTGCATCTCTGCAACTTCTTGTAGCTTGTAGAGCGAGCCTTCTCGCTCTCTACATAACAGAGTTCCATCGGCTCTGGACCTCCGCTGTCATATCGTCTCGGTTGACGATATGATGTCGAGCTGGCGCGAGCCTGTCTCAGACTGAAGTCTTCCTGCTCAGCAATGGAAATGGCTTGTTCTAGTGAATCTAGTTCAAGCCGGAACAGGTGAGTCTTGACGGGACCATCCGCAAGAACCTGCATGAACACCGAAACCAACGTGTGTTCATCCACCGGATTGGAACTTATACAACTCGTAAGATGTCGTATATGTTGGGCGTAAGCGTGCACATCACGCTTACCCTGTTTGAGCTTCAAGAGTTCGGTTCGAGCCCTGAACTCAGCTCTAGGCGGTTCAAACGTTTGTCTGAGCCGCGACTTGAAGACTTCCAACGACCCAAACGCATATGGGTCGTGCAACTTGAGCCCCAGTGCCCAAGTCTTGGCACGTCCTGCCAGATTTGACTGGGCAAATGCAACTTGCATATCCCCGTCGTCGATGCGACGCGCCCTTATGGCGTCATCCAATTCGACGAACCATCTCAAGAGGGAGTCTTCTTCGACCCCCCTATACTTGGAGATGTCAATCTTTAAGGTTTCGGGTCGACGCGAGTGCATCGACCCGCCAGCAGCAGCCTGCTGCTGTCTCAACAGTTCAAACTGTTGAGCACCTTGTTCTCTCAACAACTCTGCTTGTTGAGAACCTTGTTGGTGAAGCAAGACTACTTTCTCGCGTTCAGCGTCAAGTTCATTTTGAATGAACTTGGCGATAGTAGCATGTTGGGCATCTCTATTGAGAGCCTCTAGCATGACGCTAACAGCATGGATGCCCATGGTCGAACCCATTCGTTCAACCGCATCCCATTCGACATCGCTCAAATGGGAGTAGCCGTCACGCGTAGCGTGAAAGCTTTGGTCATCTTCATCATCCAACATATTCATGTTGGATGTGAACGCGGTCCTTGGACGGACTACGAAGTGCTACCAGGTGTAACGGGGCGCCCTGAAGCTTGTACTGGTGACAGTACAAGCTACTTATTCTGTTAACAGAATAAGGCGGTGCCTCGTAACTTCACGTACACTCGTACGTGCAGAGGAAGACGGTTAGAAGAAGCGAGTACTTGGTTAGAGTAAAAAGTAGAACTGTATTTATAATAGTTAATGTCTGCAATAAATCACTATTTATCTTCATCTAACTATGTCTAAATACAAATGTGTAAATCAGTTATCTGCTCACCACTCATTGCGTGCGTCTGTCGTGGCGCGTCTTCGTTGGTTGATATAATGGCCTATATCAACCAATTAGGAACTACTTGTAAGTGCTACATAATATTTGTCCTTATGACAATATTCTGAGAATATAACTCTTATAGTTATATTCTATTAACAATTTCTTATAAATTGTTATGTAACGATTCACCCCGTTACATGTGACGTGAAAGCTGTCGTCTTCTACGTCCAACATGAACATGTTGGACGGACACTAAGCAGTCGTTAGACGGACTACGAAGTGCTACCAGGTGTAACGGGGCACCCTTTGTTTGGGGTGCCGCGAAACTTCACGTACACTAGTACGTGCAGAGGAAGCTAAGCTACTTGAACGACTCGATAAAGTAAGGGTAAACCGAGAACTGTATTTAATACAGTCAAGCTATCTATATAACTTTAATCTTTATCTAAATATGTTAAACTACGTCGTCGTATGACGACAACCTGCTCACCACTCATTGCGCACGTCTAGCAGCGATTGGTGGCAATCTGTGGTTAATTTGTCTTATATCAACCAATCTTGGAGCAGCGAATGAATGTTATCCAAAGGGGATAATATTTCTTCGATATTATCCATCTCGGATAATATTGGAAGAATATTGTCATGCTAGACAATATTCCTATTGACACCGTTTGGTGTCAATTTCATGTAACGGGATACCCCGTTACAGCGGCTCTTCAACTGCACGAATGAGATTACAACACCCTCCGGTTGTCATTGCCTCCAGATTCGCAACGATAAACAACTTGCGCAACCTTGTTACTATTGCTGGAGTGCTACAGCAAGTACCTTCAGTACCGCCAGAGCTAAGGCAATTACCATGTCTACCAAGACAAGTACCTGCTCAAATGCGCGACAGCACGACCAGTCATTCTTAGTGGCAATCAGTACCATTCTATGCTTCCACTTCACCAGCCATGTAGCATCGCTTCATAGAAATCACTCTTTATCTCGTCTCCGACTCAACCATTTTCAGGCAGTCAAGGTGAGTAAAGTTTTAGTGGACCCGTATCGATACCCGTCGAGAAGTATTGCGTCATTCTCTTGTTCACCAGCGTCCCCCGCTTAGTGCTATATTGAGCTTTTAGATCCTGTAGCGCACGAGTATCAACGGCGTCGCACCACGTAATTTTTCTCAAATGTACTTGGTTCAGCTTAGTTCGACTCCAATATTTTACAACGCGAGCAAAACAGCAGCTCTAACAACTGCCGAAGCAAGAATCGTCACACCTGCACGCCGTGCAGCAGCTCTCGAATCCTGCGAAGAAGCACTCGTGCTGGAAAGCTAGTGACTGATGCAAGCTCATGAGCAACGTGTCGAGTCGATGCAGCTCTGGCCTAGATTAGGATAGTTGTACCCGGCATTTCAACTTGCGTTTATTGCTTCAAGTCTGCGCTTCACGTGTAAAAGATCCGCACAACGTCTGTATAGCGACTGTGCGAAGCCTGTACAATACCCTTTTTGGTAGGCAAAGGACGGGCATACAATACCGCACCCTCGAACACTGATTGCTAAGTAACAAAGTTGCAACGAGCTCATCTGACTCAGCACCCCAGTTCTCTTCCACGACTTAAGACCGTGGTCGCGCTTGCATTATCACCGTTGTGCAAGTCGACACCATAGGTTTATCCTTCCGACGCTAAGCGCGCTCATGCTACATCTCATCGTAAACTTGACCGGACCTTGGAAGCTAGTACAGCTAGATCCTACAATTATCCAGCAACGTGGGACCTCTCAGTTCGCCGAAAAAAGAACTAACAGGTGGTACAAAGCCCAGGTCACGGTGCTCGAGTAAATCAATGCATTCGATGTAAATGTAGCTCAGCTGCCGTTAAGTACGACAATTACCGATGCATGACTACCCCAACGGATCCTTATCAGTCACTTTCCACACGTGGATGTGAGACTTCTGATCACAATCGATTCAGAGCGCGAAGACAACACACCGCTGTTACTCGGACACTGGCATGGAAGTACGTCATATCACTTGCTGCCAAACGGCGTAACGACATCACACCGTCGCTGGACATTCGGGCGCCTTTTAAGCTTAAGTATAGCTGTCACGGCGTCGTATGTAACGACTTTTTGCACATTGCGCGCTTCAGAGTTCGACACACGAGCCGCTGAAACGATCGGTCCACTTGTACTGTTGGCGCTGGTACTCCGCGCATCAATTGCGCAGTAAGATTGCCGGCAAAATTTGTTCAGTCTCACGCCAGTGCGTCTTGACAAAACTGTAGTAGTAAACGCGGTCCGGTTGCGATCTTCATGCCCATAAGTAGCTCTCAATTGACGGTGACGTTGAACAGGTATTTATCAGCTCAGCAGGTTCGCTTTGGGGTTGCAAACCTACCATACGTTGTCGATACAATTGCACGGTCTCACTATTTGCGGCGAACTGACAACGTAAAGTTTCGGCTGTAAGCTTCACTTCACGCTAACTGGACTCCATTGAAGCTACCATTTCGCCTCTGACAGACGTGCGCCAGCCATCGACTACCCACCAACAATAATCACGTTGTGTTGCTACTTCACCCACTTCATTCCTGGGTTTGGAAACAAATTACCCGAGGCCAATCTGACTTCACAAACCATGAGCCTGATGCTTAATTTGCAGATTAGTTGAGCCAGAATTGGTCCTTGACTTTAATCTCTCTTGCCTTAAGTTTCTGCCACCGCTCATGCATCTCCACCACGATCTGGATGGCGGCCTCTTTAGACGCCAGTCTATTCGGGGAGAACACGTTCTCTGGTTTGCCCTCCGGAATCTTGTACTTCGTAAGCCAATCCACTAATGCATCCACCACGCCAGGCTTTACGCTCTGCAAGTCGTTCACACTATTTATCTTCCCGGCGTCCTCGTCAGCAGCGGAAAGCGCCAAAATCTTGTGATCTACTTCGCCCTGATCAACAAGCTCTAGACTACCAAGAATCTTGACTGGGATCACCGAACCCATGGGTAGCTGCTTCGCACCAATCTCAATTACGTCTAGAGGGTCGTTGTCACCGCCGCTCCCACTCCCATCTTTTACGCCCGGATCTTCCCATGTCTGCGGGAGCAGGCCATAATTGAAGAACGGCACCCCATACAGATAGTCACGGCCACGAGTGCCATTGTGCGTCGTGTCTTGCATGATCGGATTGTACTGCTCTTCCTTATTTACCTCCATTTTGTGCGCGGTTCCCTTTGGAATCTCGACGATGAAATTAAATGAGCCATTGTCCTTCGAACCCAACGGATGAAGTGGAATGTCGTGCCACGGAGAAATTTTCTCGCCCTTGTCATTCTTAAAGTAAAGCTTGTAGTCGGGACGACCAAATGTACCAACGGATGTAAACGAGCGTGTAGTATCCACCAAAGGCTTTGAAAATTGCATGCCGAACGGAATCCAGCGCAAACTATCCACGTTCTGGTAATAATCAATCATGATATCCCAACCAGACTTAGCCATGAACCCTTGTGGTACGCACATTGGTTCATCTTTCCAGCCTGCTGGAATTCTATCTCCCTCGCATCTTTGCAGGCCCTGCCGCGCCATATTACGCATAAGCGACCCCGAGATAGACAGAAAGTCCTGCTCGCGGCTGCTGTCCATCGGCTTCATCTTGTGATCCTGTACGTCGTAGTACACCTTCGGAAACGATAGAATGTTGAAGTCTTCCATGCCAGGTGCCATATGAAGAACAAAGCGACCATGGTCACGGGCGTAAAGGTCGTCTTTGTCGCCATCTGAGCGCTTGATGCCAGCAGGGTCTCGTCCCACAATAAAGAAGCTTGCACCAGCATTCTTGCGACTTTTTGCATGCCATTGCACCTCGCGAGGACCGGCATAGATCATCGGAGAGGGCCAAATAGATAAAACCGTGCTAGTCTTATTCAGCATACCATCGCGCAGAATTGCTTCATGTTGACGCACACGTACGTCAAGAGGTACATCGTCTTGTTTCGTCCAGCCTCCGAGAGAAGACAACCACAGCACAGGGTTCTTGTAGCCCTGAGCTATAAGCTGCTCGCGGGCATTATTCATTAGGTAGGCATGACCAGCATGGGTCGGGTTTCTTGTCTGGAAAGCGAGCACAACATCAGCGTTCATTTCTCTAAAGCGGTCACGCAATTCCATCGGGGTCATGCGGTACTCGTCCAAACCATCATTGTACTTGATGCGGGATAACAGTTCAATCTCACCACCGAGCAGGTACTCACCCGACTTCAAGATAGCAGCAATATAGGGATGACCGCTGTCCATGGCACCAAAAGTCCGTGCTATACGCTCCTCCTTGCGGTGGTCATATATTTCAGGGTCATGTAGCAATGCAAGCTCCTTACCAGACGGACCCACAAGCACCACCACTTTTGATGCGCCAATGCACGTCTTCGTAGCATTGTTAATCGGAAGTACAATAGGCACAGGCATGCTCACGCGCTTTCCCTTTGACACAAACTCATTTGAGTATTCAGAAAAGTTAGTGGGCTCGCAAAGGGTCAGCCGACCGTCAGTAAGGTTGGCTGCGTCGTATAACACGCTGCTAAAATGGAGAGACTGCAAGTAGACACCCTCGCGCATGAAGCCACGCAGTGGCGCAGCCCATCCCTCGCCAATCACCTGCAACCAGTGTACATCTTCATTGCGCAGAAGAACACGAGGCAGTGCGTCGTAGTTGTCAGGATGCGAGTTACGCAGACGGTCCAGGAACTGCGTCGATGATGTGGCAGCATCGTTACTTGCATCAATTGCTGCCACGGTAAGGTACCCAGTAGGTTGTTCCATCACTCCAGTAAGCAATCCGTCCATCACCAGCTTCTCCAAAATGATTTTGACCTCATCCTCAAGCGACTGCGTCGAAGTATAAAGGTGAATCTCCGGATTATGCGGTTCTTCGTACGGTGATGAGATACCTGTAAACTCCTTGATCTCCCCCTCCATCGCACGTTTATACAACCCCTTGACATCCCGGTCAGCAGCCACTGACACTGGCACATCCACATACACCTCGTAGAACGGAATTCTCATCTTCTCGTGCAGCGCGCGCACCTCGTCACGAGGAGCGCGGAATGGTGACACGAGCGCCACGAGTGTGATCACGCCCGCCTCAGCAAACAGCGCAGACATCTCGCCCACACGACGCACACTCTCAGCTCGGTCGGTCTCAGAAAAGCCCAAGTCCCGGTTCAGACCGAGGCGCACGTTGTCTCCGTCCAGTCGATACACGTGTTTGCGTCGTTGCAGGAGCTCCTTCTCCAGCGCTCGTCCGATCGTGCTCTTACCACTGCCCGATAATCCCGTAAACCAGAGCGTCGCGCCTTTCTGCTGCAGCGCTGCGTACCGCTGCGGACGTGAGAGCATAGACGAGTCGTAGTAAACGGGACGCTGTATAGCCAGCTGCTGCAGGCGCTCGATGGCGCACGCGTCAATTGTCTTCGTCTGATTGGACGAAAGGGAAGAGCAAGAAGGTGCAATGTTGCTATGGTCGGCACCAGTATCGACGCCTATAAACAACGCGACGAGCACGAGGTAGGGCGTGAGGACCAGCACTGCCAGCACAAACTTCTTGAGAAGCGCGCGACGCTCTTCGTGGTCCGGGCCATACGACAATACAAGACTTGAGGCATCGTCGGTGTCGGTGCAGTCGGAGTCATCGTTCTGCCTGATGGACGCGTACAGCGCGTTGGCCATGGCTGGAACGAATTTCTCGGTATCTGCGGGTCGCGCGGAATGAAAGTGTTGGGCCGAATGATGCGGGATCGGATGACCGTCGCTTAAGTACGTCCCTATCCCTAACCGGTCAGACTGGTTTACATTTTGACAAAGTGACGGTGTCTTCGATAAGTTGCCGGCCTTTAAGTTATCCCCTACTATATTCCGTTGGGAATCGTAATTCAGTCCTCACCTTTTCGCTTAAACAGTCCCCACCCAAAGATAGTGATTCAGTTCTGAGTAATCGAGTTCGTAGACGTGAATCAAGTTGCTAAATACTATACAGCAGTAGTCACTAGAGAGGGAGAATGATGCTGTTACGTTCTGTATTGGCCTAGTGCAGTTGGCTGGGTCAACGCGATCGGCCTTTGCTTACGAGCAGCCAGCCTTTCCTTTGGTGATCAGATTCCGTCTTTGCTCGATTTTAAGACAATCAGAAGCGAGCGTCTCAATAGTGACCTAGCGGAATAGTGACTACGTGTATGTCTTAACACCAATATGGTGCGGACATGGCTATATCACAATTAGTACGGATTAGCTAACCTAGCCGCTCTATTTAGCGACACAGACGGACCCGTAGATACACATTAAAAAGCACGATTTAATATTCGGCATTCAACCTCGCGCATACTGACTAATACCTTCGCATTTTGAACTTGCAACAAACGTAAAAATAAAGAGCTTATAACTCAGTTCCATCTCTTCTTTTACCAGGTAAGTAGTAGGGTAGTGAGTGGTCTAGGGTCGCATTGTAGTGTAGTTGGTAGGTGGCGTGGGTTTGATACCACAGTGTGCGAATTTAGGAAATCAGGGGTAAATTACGAAATAGTCCAAATTGGCGCCTTCGGGTGCTGCAGTGTGGAAGTAGTTACTTGACCCTAACTTATGAACGAGCGTCCTTCCCCCCAGTTCACTAGGGTGTTCAAACTGGAAGCCTTCAATAGAAGATGGCCGGTAGTTAAGCTCGCACGATTCAGAGCAGAGACGCTGAAATCGCGGCATATTTTCGATCCCTTCATGGTGCCTACGCAACAAGTGACTCGGATCGGTGTAAGCCGTGGCCGCAAACAGGCGCAGTAGCAAACCAATAGAACCAAGGGTGGAGTACCAACAATAGAATAAAGATGCAAAGCCAAAAAGGCAAAATAGGACAAGGGCCGGTAAGGGTAAAAGGTAAAGCCGGAATCCAAAGGCAATAACTTAAAAGCCGATTCAAAAGGTAGACCAAAAGGTAAAGGTCCAACGGTGGAGAATCAAAGTCGAAATTCACGAGAAAAATGTTAACGACGAAAGTCGAAGGCAATTTTCTGCAGCCGAAAGCCCAAATTGGGAACTTCCCGTATTAAATAGAAATAGGAAGGACTCAATTCGATGATACCGTATCAGCATTTAACCTTGTGCATTGTCACGAATAGCTTCACCCTTCGGGCTAGTAAATATGTTATAGGACATGCACATGTATAGGAACGAATGTATGAGCTAAGGTGTATAAGCAAAGCTATCCAGAAGATTTGATTGTTCTTGGTCGTGTCAATTTATACGAATGAGCTGCCTTATGTTGACTATTCCTGGCCAGCTTGGTCAAACTCAACTCTTCTACCTTTTGTGGCGGCAAACTCTTCGATTCTCAGATGTTGTACAGCCAAAAACACGAGCATGGTATGACAGCCAGACGTCGAATGTGTTGAACTCTTGATAGCGAGACGGAATCCAATCCTAGCCTTCTCTCCCTATTTCACAAATTAACAACAACATGATCCAATGTATGCCCTTGGATCTTGTGTATGGTCATTGCAGATGACAACAATCGGAGCGAGTACCAGGTCCGATTGTGTTTAAAATCTTCCGAAAAGAATTTAGAAGCCGGCATTGGAATCCATTTCCTCGGTCTTTTACTATCCACGAAAAGGGGTCGATCAATGTAGCTGTACCAATTCACAGCAATAAAGATGGGCACATCAGTGGTGGTCCAAAAGAATGAACCATCTTTAAGTTTGCGTTTGTGCTTGGTCCAAAAAACAACCATCCTGGAGTTTGCATAAGTCCTTTTTTCTTGCAAAAAAAAATTGTATTTGAATGTCTACGCAGAGGTGTCCCAAGAACAGGGAGTAGTTGTCCCGGATCTCCAACTAGTATCACGTTAACAACACCAAAAGACACGTCGCGTATTCCCTTAGCTTAACGCAATCGACTTTCAATTTTTTTCGAGCAAATCTAAACAGACCATATAGTACTTGTCATTAATCACTACGAAAGCTTTGCTGAACCTGTCTTAAATTTTCTACAGCGATTATCCTGCTTCACGAAAGACCGAGACTCCGCCTCAACATGTATCAAAATTAGCGAACGTAAGGTAAATCTACAAATTGAAAATGACGCATTCACCGTAAGATATCCACAAATAACATCATCACGACCAAGTGCTGTAGATGTCCCGCATATAGTGTGCAACTTGCCAGTTCCCTCCGTTCCATTTGCGATGAAAATGTTGACATTATTGCGGCAGATACAGTAACCATATTATAGCATTACATCTGCTTTTTATTTAAATTGCGACGAGGGCTAGCTGGGAGTTTAGCATGCGAGGGAATCTGAAGGGTATTGTTTGATCATAAAATTCAGCCAATTTAAAGCATTTGGATAAGATGTCTCGGTGTAACTTCACTGAATATTTGCGTGCCAATTGTATTTGCGGTCAACGAGTAGTTGATGTAGGGTCTGTTGCCCATCACGTGATAAAATTCCAGCTGTTACCATTCATTACTCAGGTTCTACAAATTCATATTCACTGCCCAGTTCTTCCATTAGCTCATAATCCCTCCTATCCCTTGCCTTAACTAGCAATTTACGAAGCTCAGCATTCTCGCGACAACATCTAAAAATACTAGCGTTAGCTGTATCAGAAAATTGTTCACCTGATTTCAGAATTAATATCATTATCCATATCTTAAAGGTCTTCAAAACACCAAGACGAATATTTGATTAAGGAGTACTCACAGATAAGATTGTAAGTAGGTGACCGGCTGTTTCCAAAATAACATGGAAAGGCGACAACGACCGCATTATCCGGTTTTAAACGTTTGACCATTTCGGTACCCTTGATCACAAATCTTTTGCAAAATAAATCTAATTAAGCAGTTGCTACAGGTTCAAAAAATAAATTTCGGCTACGATTATGCACGTTTTGAAAAAGGGTCAGCAAGTTGTCCGCAACTACAACCTTTTCGGTAATTTTTCAACGTGAAACTGTTGAGTTCTGACTTCGAGGGATTGCTTCGCAAATGATTGATGACTGTCTGTGATGACCGCCAAATATCATCCTAGAGGCTTCAACCCCTCCCACGTCTCGACGGTCAACGCATTAAATTATTAAAAATCTCAGCTTCAAAATCGAATTGTAGAAATTCTGTGAGTTTGCATCACAGACCTATAAATATATTTTGCAAATACCTTCCACTTTTTTACCCTTGAATGCATGCTTATCCATGTAGGCAAAACCAGCTTGACGATCAATAATTAGCTAAAGGCCCACATTAGCTCTTCAATGCTGGTGCATGCCCTGTTATGAATGTTCAACCATGAGTAATTTCTTCGCAACGCAATTTGAGCCCGCAAGATGGAACCGACTTTTTCGAAAGTAATCTTCGCACCTCTTTATATTTGTATCAAAAAATTGAATCGATGTCCTATTACTTTTTAGCCTTGCAATATCCGTCGGGATGACAAAAGTGGCGCTTAAGGCAATTTGAGAGATTTGGATGATTAGCATCCTGAGAATCAGGATTGCCTTGAAATTCGAACATGTTTTGGTAGATGGATGAGGACTTTAAACGGCCACCTAATCATCTACTAGGGTGGCCGTAAATTTATTGCTATCAAAAAATTGTCAGCGTAGGTAATAAGTATACACTCTGCTGATTTTCCACAAATTAGAGGTGCCCTAAAGGTGCTCATAAAAATCACAAGTGAAGACAAAAAAATCCAGCTGTTTTTATCCAACATCCACTGTATACAGGAGCAACCAATTTTTGGAATCATTTGATCATTTTTAAACTTAGCTAAACCATAAGCGCGAATCGCGGTTTGAGACTTTCATTTTTATCGCGGTCTCGTACCCTTTCGGATTCATAAACAGCTTAAAAGCATCGAAAAAATCATACAATCGAGCATAGAAGTAACAGTCGACCAGATGTGGATTTTTGGCAGCATTACGATAGCGCCTATCCATTTCCAGAATTATACCAGGCATCAGACTATGAAGGTCCCCCCAATGTTCGTCAGCAGAGCTAAATTTAAAAACGCGGTACCACACCCTTTGTACTGAAAACTACTTTGAGTTCTTGTCGTCGATAAACCAGTAAGCGTCGGAGCCGGTAAGATTGCCGAATAAGCAGTGGTACCGATCATCAAATTAATTCGAGTGTTGTCGTGTATTATTTGGCTTAATTTGATAATCGTCAGAGCTGCATATTCGAGATTTTACTTTAGGTATGTGTTAGATTACGATAGCGTTCGATTGGTTCCTATCATGTCGTTACAAATTTAAATCGATCATGCTCCGAATAAAGGGTGTTATAGTTTTTAGTTATAGATTTTTAGTAGAAGGACATACATCAGCAAGACGAAGGAGGCGAGCAGTTGCATCAGTCTTAAGTATAGAATACTGCCCGATCAGGTTTGTTAGGGTCTGCAAAGCTAATAGAAAATAATTTTACAAAGCCACAGCGGCTATTGAAGTTTTTTCGAACTCGTTTATGGGCTGATGCTCAAAATCGGGCCACGCAAAAGCGCGATGCAAACGATCAACTTCCACAGGTTCATTGCCAGTACCTGAACAGATAAATCACATGGGATTAATCCCTTCATTAGATTCCAAAGTTTATACGGAATTAGACGGCGCTTTATCCTCATCGTTCATATCGATGGGATTAATCCCTTCGTGAAATCCCGAAGTTTAATCATCTTCGACAATTGATTCGGAAAGTTGTTGTAGTACATCATTTTCAGGTAATGCAGTCTGAAATTCTCCTGGCTGAAGGCAACATTACTCCTTATAAATTCTGAGTGGTGCTGTGACAAATGAATACAACCTCTGGTACCGGTGATCGATTGACCTTGCACTAGACAGATGTGTTGTCCTGGCCATTACGTTTGACGATGACAAATAAGATCTTGTCAGCTAGACGATGCACTTGATCAATGAATGCCGCAGATTCTTGTCGAAATGTGGCAACATTACCACAATTGATATTCTGATTATTTGGGCAAATGCAACTTGCATATCCCCGTCGTCGATGCGACGCGCCCTTATGGCGTCATCCAATTCGACGAACCATCTCAAGAGGGAGTCTTCTTCGACCCCCCTATACTTGGAGATGTCAATCTTCAAAGTCTCGGGTCGACGCGAAGTGCATCTACCCACCAGCAGCAGCCTGCTGCTGTCTCAACAGTTCAAACTGTTGAGCACCCTGTTCTCTCAACAACTCCGCTTGTTGAGAACCTTGTTGGTGAAGCAAGGCTACTTTCTCGCGTTCTGCGTCAAGTTCATTTTGAATGAACTTGGCGATAGTAACATGTTGGGCATCTCTATTGAGAGCCTCTAGCATGACGCTAACAGCATGGATGCCCATGGTCGAACCCATTCGTTCAACCGCATCCCATTCGACATCGCTCAAATGGGAGTAGCCGTCACGCGTAGCGTGAAAGCTTTGGTCATCTTCATCATCCAACAAATTCATGTTGGATGTGAACGCGGTCCTTGGACGGATTACAAAGTGCTACCAGGTGTAACGGGGCACCCTGAAGCTTGTACTGGTGACAATACAAGCTACTTATTCTGTTAACAGAATAAGGCGGTGCCTCGTAACTTCACGTACACTCGTACGTGCAGAGGAAGACGGTTAGAAGAAGCGAGTACTTGGTTAGAGTAAAAAGTAGAACTGTATTTATAATAGTTAATGTCTGCAATAAATCACTATTTATCTTCATCTAACTATGTCTAAATACAAATGTGTAAATCAGTTATCTGCTCACCACTCATTGCGTGCGTCTGTCGTGGCGCGTCTTCGTTGGTTGATATAATGGCCTATATCAACCAATTAGGAACTACTTGTAAGTGCTACATAATATTTGTCCTTATGACAATATTCTGAGAATATAACTCTTATAGTTATATTCTATTAACAATTTCTTATAAATTGTTATGTAACGATTCACCCCGTTACAATAGCACAACCTCTTGACGACGCTTTTGGCTATCAGTTACCACTAATAGGAGCTTACCTCTACCATAGGTTGAAGTTGCGAGGCCACAATATGATAAGGATGTCCATCCCGGATGTAGTTAGGGGCACGTAATTCATCTTTACAAGCATGTAATGCCCTGGAGCATGCCTTCGCAGAAGGTCGAATAATGCCAATAAATATTAAATTTGACAATCGATGCCAATGATTAGATGACGCCTTCATTTTACGCTCTTTAAATCTCCTTGGAATTGTATAATCGTAGAAAATTAATACAATCTCGTCGATAAATAGTAAGATGATTATCGAATGCGAGATGTGCAGGACGCGTGGGATGGGACCGGCTCATCCTGTATCACGTCCCATGCGAAATGGGATGCGGGATCCAGAGGGATCGAACATAGCGGGACGGAGCCTACCTAATTGATATAAGACCAGCCAACTGATGTGTCTGCGCGATCTTAGGCGTCAAATCTAGTTTTTTCCAAATATTATTGCAACCAGCCAGTAGAACTGTGATTTTATGCTAGCCCTGCAATCTCTTCAGTTGTGGCCGTCGTCAGGCTCCACGTCTTCTGGACTGGCAAATGTGAAGGGTACTTGTCGAACAAAATCAATCGTATGAGATCGATCTCACATCTACTCTACCTTAATTATTACGCGACATGCTTGCTTCCTCCGAGAAACTCGGGGCAAGTGGCACATTATTTCCTGTAGCAAGATGCAGTCAATTTTTCAATGTCCTGCTTTATTGTATAGTTCAGGGTGCATTGCGTGTAATCAGCAGCCTGAAAGCAATGCTGCGATTTATAGAGACGAAGACAATGTGACGCTAAAAAATTCTGTCGACACTCCACTTGTTGGGCGCAGGAACGCACGAAACAACGAAGCCCACACAATCTGGATAGAGATATCGCATGGCTATGCCACGGATGAGGGGATGGCCAGGTCAAGAGAAGATGAAAGAAGTAGTGTGTAGGAATGCTGGCCATAAGTACACCTAACGTCAGAATTAGCAGAAAAGCACGCTAGCAAAACATGTCGTAGAACTTGCCATTGGTGTTGTGGGGGAAACTATAGCTATACGATTACAACGCCAGCTATATACGCGCTGCCACACCTTAAAACTGGCAGTTGGATATCGCTATAATGTACGGTTTGCAAATATAACCGGTACCGTAGTGCTCGGTTAAGCTCCAAGCTGAGCCAGTGAGATGGATGACCAACAAGACGTCAAATCAGGTTGCTCTGCGTCCACTGCTTCGTCCGTAGACTATAGTGTGGAAGCGTCTACGGGCGAGTCGAAGCGGTGGCTGCAAAGTCTGGAGAAGTGCATTCGCGCCATTGTGAGCGTCCGGCTGCTGAGTGTGCGCGCGTTTGACGGCAACGGCGCAAGCTTTAGCGTGGCCACGGGCTTCGTGGTGGACAAGAAAAGGGGGTTGATTCTAACAAACCGGCACGTGGTGACACCCGGTCCAGTGGTGGCTGATGCCATTTTTCTCAATAAGGAGGAGGTGGATCTTGTGCCGGTGTACCGAGACCCTGTGCATGACTTTGGTTTCTTCCGCTTTGATCCTAGCAAAGTCAAGTTTGCAGAGCTGCATGAGATCCCACTGAGGCCCGACGCGGCCAAAGTTGGTGCCGAGATCCGCGTGGTGGGCAACGACGCGGGGGAGAAACTCTCCATTTTGCCAGGGATCTTGGCCAAGTTGGATCGTGACGCACCGTCCTACGGCTTGAGCTCGTACAACGACTTCAACACGTTCTACTTTGCAGCAGCGAGCAGTACAAGTGGAGGCTCGAGTGGCTCTCCCGTCCTGAATATTGACGGATGTGCCATCGCACTGAACGCTGGAGGAGCTAAGAAGGCAGCGTCATCATTCTACTTACCGTTGAATCGCGTTGTCCGTGTGCTGGAGCTGATCCAACAGGGTCAACAAGTGTCGCGCGGCACTATTCAAACGATTTTTCGCCATACAGCGTTTGACGAAGTGCGGCGACTTGGGCTGTCGGGAGAAACAGAAGCATTAGTGCGCCAGCAATTCCCGCAAGAGACAGGCATGCTAGTAGTGGACCAGGTCATTCAAGGGGGGCCGGCGCATGATCAGCTGTGCACTGGAGACGTGCTCATAAAGTTTGCTGGCAAGTACGGTGCGACCTTTTTGACTATTGAGGAGTTTTTGGATTCTCGTGTTGCTGATACGGTTGAAGTTCAGATTCAGCGCGGAGATGACCAGTACACAGTCACACTTTGCGTTCAGAACTTACATTTAATCACGCCGGACAAATACTTGGAAATCGGAGGCGGTATTGTGCACGCGTTATCCTACCATCAAGCTCGCAATGCTTCACTGCCTGTGGGTGGTGTTTACCTAGCGCAAGCTGGCTATATGTTCATGAAAGCGCATTTGGCCCAGCCTTGTATCATTACTTCCGTGGCGGGACAGCCTACCCCAACGCTAGATGACTTTGTGCGCGTCATGGCATCGCTGCCTAACGGTTTTCGCACAGTATTACGATACTTTATGATTTGTGATCGCCACCGTGTCCGCACAGCCTTCATTATGATGGATCGTTTGTGGTTTCCAATGCAGTTGTGCACGCGGAATGACCAAGACGGATTGTGGCATGCAGAATCACATGTCGGGGACACACTGACCGGAGATGATGCGCCAAGACATCTCGCCAATACTGAACATCCAACGTTTGCCCCTGCGCCGTTGAGTTTTCCTGGAGGAAACGCACTGGGCAAGAAGACGCTGCGGTCGCTCGTAATGGTGTCTTTTGACATCCCTTATATGATTGACGGCATATCGAGCTCCAGCTACCATGGTATGGGAGTTGTGGTGGATGCAGATCAGGGTTTCGTACTTGTGGATCAGAACACTGTCCCTATTGCGTTGGGTGACGTGTTGATTACAATTGCTGCGACCTTTGAAGTCCCGGCCAAAGTGGTCTTTGTGCACCCAATTCACAATTACTCTATCGTACAATACGATCCCAAATCATTGGGTGCTGTAGCAAGCCATATCGAAAGTGTTGTGTTGGCTGAGAAAGTGCTAGAAGTTGGCGAGACCGCCGACTACGTCGGATTGAGTAGTAATTGGACCGTCGTCACAATGAGATCTGTCGTCACCAAGCTAGACCGTCTTGCTCTGCGCGACTTTCAGCCACCAAGATACAAAGCATGCAACGTCGAGGTGCTGCATTTTGACCGTATCACAAAGTCTGTGGGAGGTGTTTTTATCAATGATGCCGGTGCTGTAAATGCGCTATGGCTTTCTTTTTCCTATCAGGATAATGCTGGTCGCAAAGGACTCACGCGGGTCGCCCCAATAGATTTCTAGTCTGTCGCCTTAACCACTCGGCCGAGCTGTCCTCGCAGTCCAATCATCCCCAAATCGCATTTTGAAATTCTGCAAGCTTTAGTTATGCGTACAGGCTTCAACAATCGCCACGTGCGGTTCTGGGCCCTCTGAACCAGTTGGTCGAACTATTCAAACGTTTTGTCGTCGCCTACAAATGATGGTATCATGAGCTGACACCACCTTATTACATTGCCTCCATGGGCTCTCTTTCTTACAGATGCATCGACAGGGTCAAGGCGTTCATGTTGTAACAAAGCGCTACTATCCAAAGCAATGTCTGAAGGGGTTTGCTGTGTGGCAACTGTCGTTAGCAATGACATCGACGGCTGTGAGACTTGAACCCACGCGGGTTACCCCACCAGATTTTGAGCTGTCGCTTCAACCGCTCGGATAAGCTGTCTTGAACGTCCATTGCTGAGATATGTCACCACGTTGCCCCGCAGCAACACCTGTCGACTGACACATTAGTCGCGATGTACATGACACGAACCCCATCCGAGCTACATACAGTCGTCCACCGCACGCCTTTACCGTTGCTCGTACCGCACGTAAACCTCCGCGTAAGATGGCAATGTCATACCATCCAGTGGGTGTCTCACGCATACCAGATCAATCTCAGCTTGCGAACAAGACGGTGATCCTTGTTTACCTTGGACACAGAGTTTCGATATTTCCCGCTGTGGTGACCGCCAGTGTAGCCATCGAATCTGGCCAGAGTGGAGCTCATTTAATCAGAAAAGAGCAGATGAATGGTCCAGCAAGAAATCAAATATCGGAGGAGGGGATCTAACCCTCGATCTTGAGCGTGTTAAGCTCACGTCCTAACCACTAGACGACACCGACGACCGCTCAGGCAGAAGAACGATTATAACAACACCACTACACAACATTTCCCAATAACCACTCGCCTTCCGCTCTCTTCTTACCGCACACACACACACACAATTCGCAACCGCCTCCGCATGAAACCAGCCACTGTCACACTTCACCAAAGCCGCCCTGATCATCGTGCTGAAATGTTAGCCATAGTGAACTAAGATACCTCGACTTCAACAAGCTTCTATTCCTAGAAAATGGACTGCTGCCTGAAAGTGGTCGCTAGTGACCATCCAAGAGATCTCATACCATGGACTATCGATCGTTTGCCACTTGGAGTCAGTCGATGTACCATCTCTCTCGCGCCTACACACGATGAGCTCTCTTCCATTCACGTTATCGTGTAGCTGTTGCCACGTGTGCCCGTTCCCCATGACTGAATCCTTGCTTCAGATCTTCACCCAGTGGATGGCATGCACATCCAGTCTGATTACTGGGCTGGAACCAAGGGTATCGGTGCGGGTATTGAGCGCCCGAATACAGGTGGATATCAGGAAAGGGTTTCAAGTGACGAGACTGTGAGCAAGACACACCCATCTTCAATACCGTGATCTTGGCAGGCAAGACAAAGCATCGTGCGTAGACGCCAGATGTCTGTGAGTGGTGTATAAACACCCTGCACGAATAAATGTATCCGACAGCTGCCAGATTTGGACTCACGCGGGTCGCCCCAATAGATTTCTAGTCTGTCGCCTTAACCACTCGGCCGAGCTGTCCTCGCAGTCCAATCATCCCCAAATCGCATTTTGAAATTCTGCAAGCTTTAGTTATGCGTACAGGCTTCAACAATCGCCACATGCGGTTCTGGGCCCTCTGAACCAGTTGGTCGAACTATTCAAACGTTTTGTCGTCGCCTACAAATGATGGTATCATGAGCTGACACCACCTTATTACATTGCCTCCATGGGCTCTCTTTCTTACAGATGCATCGACAGGGTCAAGGCGTTCATGTTGTAACAAAGCGCTACTATCCAAAGCAATGTCTGAAGGGGTTTGCTGTGTGGCAACTGTCGTTAGCAATGACATCGACGGCTGTGAGACTTGAGCTCACGCGGGTTACCCCACCAGATTTTGAGCTGTCGCTTCAACCGCTCGGATAAGCTGTCTTGAACGTCCATTGCTGAGATATGTCACCACGTTGCCCCGCAGCAACACCTGTCGACTGACACATTAGTCGCGATGTACATGACACGAACCCCATCCGAGCTACATACAGTCGTCCACCGCACGCCTTTACCGTTGCTCGTACCGCACGTAAACCTCCGCGTAAGATGGCAATGTCATACCATCCAGTGGGTGTCTCACGCATACCAGATCAATCTCAGCTTGCGAACAAGACGGTGATCCTTGTTTACCTTGGACACAGAGTTTCGATATTTCCCGCTGTGGTGACCGCCAGTGTAGCCATCGAATCTGGCCAGAGTGGAGCTCATTTAATCAGAAAAGAGCAGATGAATGGTCCAGCAAGAAATCAAATATCGGAGGAGGGGATCTAACCCTCGATCTTGAGCGTGTTAAGCTCACGTCCTAACCACTAGACGACACCGACGACCGCTCAGGCAGAAGAACGATTATAACAACACCACTACACAACATTTCCCAATAACCACTCGCCTTCCGCTCTCTTCTTACCGCACACACACACACACAATTCGCAACCGCCTCCGCATGAAACCAGCCACTGTCACACTTCACCAAAGCCGCCCTGATCATCGTGCTGAAATGTTAGCCATAGTGAACTAAGATACCTCGACTTCAACAAGCTTCTATTCCTAGAAAATGGACTGCTGCCTGAAAGTGGTCGCTAGTGACCATCCAAGAGATCTCATACCATGGACTATCGATCGTTTGCCACTTGGAGTCAGTCGATGTACCATCTCTCTCGCGCCTACACACGATGAGCTCTCTTCCATTCACGTTATCGTGTAGCTGTTGCCACGTGTGCCCGTTCCCCATGACTGAATCCTTGCTTCAGATCTTCACCCAGTGGATGGCATGCACATCCAGTCTGATTACTGGGCTAAAACCAAGGGTATCGGTGCGGGTATTGAGCGCCCGAATACAGGTGGATATCAGGAAAGGGTTTCAAGTGATGAGACTGTGAGCAAGACACACCCATCTTCAATACCGTGATCTTGGCAGGCAAGACAAAGCATCGTGCGTAGACGCCAGATGTCTGTGAGTGTTGTATAAACACCCTGCACGAATAAATGTATCCGACAGCTGCCAGATTTGGACTCACGCGGGTCGCCCCAATAGATTTCTAGTCTGTCGCCTTAACCACTCGGCCGAGCTGTCCTCGCAGTCCAATCATCCCCAAATCGCATTTTGAAATTCTGCAAGCTTTAGTTATGCGTACCGGCTTCAACAATCGCCACATGCGGTTCTGGGCCCTCTGAACCAGTTGGTCGAACTATTCAAACGTTTTGTCGTCGCCTACAAATGATGGTATCATGAGCTGACACCACCTTATTACATTGCCTCCATGGGCTCTCTTTCTTACAGATGCATCGACAGGGTCAAGGCGTTCATGTTGTAACAAAGCGCTACTATCCAAAGCAATGTCTGAAGGGGTTTGCTGTGTGGCAACTGTCGTTAGCAATGACATCGACGGCTGTGAGACTTGAACCCACGCGGGTTACCCCACCAGATTTTGAGCTGTCGCTTCAACCGCTCGGATAAGCTGTCTTGAACGTCCATTGCTGAGATATGTCACCACGTTGCCCCGCAGCAACACCTGTCGACTGACACATTAGTCGCGATGTACATGACACGAACCCCATCCGAGCTACATACAGTCGTCCACCGCACGCCTTTACCGTTGCTCGTACCGCACGTAAACCTCCGCGTAAGATGGCAATGTCATACCATCCAGTGGGTGTCTCACGCATACCAGATCAATCTCAGCTTGCGAACAAGACGGTGATCCTTGTTTACCTTGGACACAGAGTTTCGATATTTCCCGCTGTGGTGACCGCCAGTGTAGCCATCGAATCTGGCCAGAGTGGAGCTCATTTAATCAGAAAAGAGCAGATGAATGGTCCAGCAAGAAATCAAATATCGGAGGAGGGGATCGAACCCTCGATCTTGAGCGTGTTAAGCTCACGTCCTAACCACTAGACGACACCGACGACCGCTCAGGCAGAAGAACGATTATAACAACACCACTACACAACATTTCCCAATAACCACTCGCCTTCCGCTCTCTTCTTACCGCACACACACACACACAATTCGCAACCGCCTCCGCATGAAACCAGCCACTGTCACACTTCACCAAAGCCGCCCTGATCATCGTGCTGAAATGTTAGCCATAGTGAACTAAGATACCTCGACTTCAACAAGCTTCTATTCCTAGAAAATGGACTGCTGCCTGAAAGTGGTCGCTAGTGACCATCCAAGAGATCTCATACCATGGACTATCGATCGTTTGCCACTTGGATTCAGTCGATGTACCATCTCTCTCGCGCCTACACACGATGAGCTCTCTTCCATTCACGTTATCGTGTAGCTGTTGCCACGTGTGCCCGTTCCCCGTGACTGAATCCTTGCTTCAGATCTTCACCCAGTGGATGGCATGCACATCCAGTCTGATTACTGGGCTAAAACCAAGGGTATCAGTGCGGGTATTGAGCGCCCGAATACAGGTGGATATCAGGAAAGGGTTTCAAGTGATGAGACTGTGAGCAAGACACACCCATCTTCAATACCGTGATCTTGGCAGGCAAGACAAAGCATCGTGCGTAGACGCCAGATGTCTGTGAGTGGTGTATAAACGCCCTGCACGACCAAATGTATCCGACAGCTGCCAGATTTGGACTCACGCGGTCGCCCCAATAGATTTCTAGTCTGTCGCCTTAACCACTCGGCCGAGCTGTCCTCGCATTCCAATCATCCCCAAATCGCATTTTGAAATTCTGCAAGCTTTAGCTATGCGTACAGGCTTCAACAATCGCCACGTGCGGTTCTGGGCCCTCTGAACCAGTTGGTCGAACTATTCAAACGTTTTGTCGTTGCCTACAAATGATGGTATCATGAGCTGACACCACATTATTACATTGCCTCCATGGGCTCTCTTTCTTACAGATGCATCGACAGGGTCA